GCAAACCGTCCCCTGGTCACCGTGACGATCCTCCACGTGAAGGTTGCATCATCCGACACAACATGTGACAAGTTTTTGTGGAGAAATGTGCACACACAAAAACGTCTCCAGCACAGGTCCTGGTGTAAGGTCACGTGGCCTCCCGACGGCCGCTGCTGCACATGTTGCATGTGTGATGCGCTCAACAGGAACTCGGTGCAGATCACAGAAGGCGCTGATGAGCTGCAGATGGAAGAAGAAGACGAAGACAAATGAGAATTAAGCCGAGAGTCAAAGCTTCATCCCAAAGTAATGAAGCTGGCTGCACGTCTGAAGGAAAAGGATTTCCATTTCAATAAACGGCACACATGGAAGCTGTCATCAAGTCAGGCGCCTCTGAAACCTCTTTGATTTCACTTTGACTGATAAAGATTTTTTTTGCTGTCAATGTTGCTGAAGGCCAAACAGAGAGTTTGGTTCAATCAATAGATTTTTTTTCTCTCTGTTGATGTTTAACTCCAGTTTTTTTTCTCCTCCGTAATCAAACCAACCTTCACGGCTTCGGCTGCCTCACTCTGCTGATACTGACCAACACCAGGCTCACGTCTGAACTTTGCATCTGAATGATATTCATGCAGCTTTGGGTGGATTTAAACAGATTAAATCCGTGTTGGGACTCTCTGATTATCACTGCATGAGCATTACATAAACTTTAGCACATGAAATAGTCGGATCTCTTTAACTTTGAGAATTTAAAGTAGTCTCGGGTAATTCCATGAATAAACCAACCGTTGCCTTCTTCCTGTATTGTTTAGAATCACGTGTAGAAGACGATCCTGGGAGATAAAAACGAGACCTTTCATTGTTGTTCTGACCAAATGCTGATATGAGCCTTGAAAGTTTACCCAGAATGCACTTTTTCATGTTTTCTCTGATGACTGATCAGGAAAGATGCCAATGATTGTGTCAAACTGCTGCAGGTTTGCTCATCAGACTGTAATATATCCAGTGATGTTGATGCTTTAGACACCTGGAGTGGGTTTAAAGTTGATTTGGCTGCAGTTTTTACCAGAACTCTGATGTGTTTTTCAGCCTCACGTGTCCGTCTGATGCACTTATGAAGCTACGAGGCTCAGAAATGATGGAAAAACTAATTAAAAGAATCTGGACCCGCTCCTACGTATTGTAAGGGTCTGTAGCTCTGAAAACATTCATGGTATGAAGGTGAAACGTTGCACAGCGAAAATATTGTACAAAAAAAGGGTGGATGATGAGAAATCCATGCACGATAGCGTGTTGTGCAGCTGGGAGAGCTGGTATGTACATATATATGAGTGTTTGCTCTGTGCATCGTGTATCGAGCGGTGATTGACGCGTGGTCGTACAGAAAAGGTGAAACGGTCACATCGGAGCACTTAGCGCTGCCGGCAGAACACATAAATCTGCTCTCAGCACTTGTTGTTCCAACTGTACACAACAACAAGTGACATCTGTGGAAAAACAAAAGGAAAAACCATAAATCTGTCCTCGCGTGTGGCACCTCTGTGGTCGTCTAACGTCCGTCGCTGCTCCTCTGGGATGCAGCTGTGAAGCATGTGAGGCTCGTGCACGTGTGTGTGTGTGCACGGATGACCTTGGAGGAGGAAATGGTTTCGCTGTGATGTCAGGTTTTCTCAGATTGAATTTTCCAGATGACGTGACCGCCGCTCTCTATCGAATGTGTGTGTGAGCAGGACGGAGAGGGGCAGCAGGCGCAGCAACATGGCCTCCAGTGGGAATGGGAATAGAAAATTGGAGCTAAATGAAGACTGAAATGAAATTAGAGCCTCCCCAGAAGGAAACCGTGTAATGATACAGTGATGGAGTTGTTATCGGTGATGCTGCTGCTGCTGCTGATGATGATGATGATGTCTTTGTTCCTGGTTGTTATAAAGATTACAGTACGGTGGCATTTGATGAAGCCAGAACGAGGTTACGCAATCCCAGATCTGCTGCTTGTTTGTGTGCATATGCAAGCCTGCGTGATGTGCCGGGCTTAGCGCATTAAAAAAGCTGTTTTGCATTAGCCGCCCTCGCTCTCATCCTCCGCTGCTGCCGCCCCACAGATGGGCGTGATGGATGCACCAGATTCTCAGCTGTTTTCTCTGCACATGTAATGAATCCCAACCCGTCTCTCTCTCTCTCCAGGTAACAACTGGCAGTTTGCGTTCAACGTCAAGTTCTACCCTCCCGACCCCTCGCTGCTCACCGAGGACATCACCAGGTACAAATTCACACGTCACCGTCAGCTCGGGCCTGCGTTTATTGTCGTTTTATGGCCGTTCGGGTGCAGCGGAGCGGGTCGTAAACGCTGCATTAACACGTTATCACCTTTCAGCGTCACACCAAACCATTAGCGAACCGCTTCCTGCGTCCTCGTCCAGCTGTCAGAGCGACATTAGCGTTTACTGGGAGGCGTGTTGTCGCCACATAACAAATAACTGAAATATGCAGCGTGATGTGGTGCAATAGGTCGTTTTGGTTCTCGCTCTGTGGTGTTTGTTTGCTCTCTTCACACCAAATTCTCGTTAGTTTGGACAACAGTTAAGTATTTTCATAATCGCAATAAAACAGCTTAAAAATGATCATTAATAATTCTCTTTACCCATGACTCCGAACATCTAACAAACAAAATATATTCAACATTTAAAGAGTTCTCATTTAGTAATTTAGGGAACCTCTGATATTGCAGATACATGATGAGAAAAAAAGGTTTAATTAGTCCTAATTAGTCATCTCCAGGTCGATATTCTCATCTTACTACAATCTCTGGTGTCACAAGTAGAGAAGCTCAACAGATTTCCAGGATTATTTCTTGAAGCAGGAGGAACAGAATACCTTCGAACACCCCCGTACTTTCTTTTTTTTTTTCTTTTTTTTTTGAGGAAATGTTCTTTTTATAGAAACTGATACCCTTCAAGACTTTGCTGCCTTTACAATATATTCTGCATAAGCACAGCACAACAGGGGAGCTCAGCCTTCCTAATTATCTTCACAGCATTCGATTAGAAAGAAAGCAGAGAGCCGGTTGTGTCCAGTCACAGGTAGATTCAGGTAAAATCACACCTCATGGGTTTTAAGGACTTGTGTTGTCGCACTTTTAGGGGAGCTTTCAGCATAATGTAAACCTCATGTGCGGTGTCAGTCTGTTCCTCAGTGGTGGTGGTTCTACTTTTTTGTTTTGCTTGCTGCCAATAATACACCAGTTTTCAAACAACATGTCACCCAAATCCACCCCCGAACTGGCCGGTCGTGTCCTCCAAACTAAGTTGGTTTGGCTGCATTTCGTTCAGACTAACGGACAAGAAAGTTGAGAATAAACTTCACAAGCAGCAGTTTGTGTAGCAGCTTAACAGCCAAAGTGTGAAAAACAGCAGCTGACTCCTCAGAAGCTCTGGTGCTGCGTCACCAGTTGATATATTTTCAGAAATCATATGAAACTGAGTCGGTTCTTATAATTTTAGAAGAAAATCACCACAATAAAATGATTAAATTTGCTCCAAATGCCATTTTTTCACACTGATTTAGAGTTAATTTAAGCTAATAAGGCTGCAAATAACCTGCTGATTTTTTTTTTTTCTCCGTGCAACCAATCGATTGGATGATTACAGTCCAAGATTTGCTTCGGTTCGCTGCAGCTCTACTGTTTAAAACCTCCACCAAACCTTTAGAAACGCAACCATCAGGCTCTGTGGCTGTCAAACATGACGTTATTGTTGCTGGAGAAAACTGTGGCAGTGGAGACATGGTGTTAAATAAGAGCTTTAGGAGAGTTTAAAAGTTGGGTGATTCTTCTTAGTTCTGAGTCTCCTACTCTCTACATTACACTTGTGGGGTAATTATTGATGTAGAATCTTAAAGTGACTGTAGATGTAAGAACACACACACGGCTGCAGATTCATTTGTATTTCTACACATGCACACCCACAGCGAGGCATGCTCCCAGCTCTTTAAGGTGAAATGTGCGTCTAATGGAGCGAACAGCTTCTCTGATGGTTGCAGCTAAAAGGCCAAACGAGGACACACAGTTACACACCTGGCCTCCGCTGACCTGCAGTAGAACAGTTCTCCAGACCTGCAGGTGTGGAAATTTACACTTTGTAAAGCCAGTGCGATCCAACTGTAACCTCCGTCCATCACATTTTCTGATAATTACCCACAATAAAATGATAAAACGCTGCAGAGGAGCTCGTAAACCGACTGCTGGACGATTCACAGCAGAGATGTTACGTAAGCGGGTCGGTCACGGTGAGGATTAGACGTGAGGTTATCCCAGTAAACTGGTGTAGCGGCACAGTAAGAAAACTGTGCAACAAACACCGACAAAGACGCTTAATCCTCACCAGAGGCGCTTTGGATCGTTTTATTATCATCATTATGAACAAAGGAGCTGAATCCGCTTCAAAGAGAACCACATGAATGAGTCCTTCTGCTAAAACCAGCCTCTGTTTCCTCCTCCTTCTCTCTTCAGGTACCTTTTGTGTCTGCAGCTCCGCGAAGACGTCGCCTCCGGACGGCTGCCGTGTTCGTTCGTCACTCACGCTCTGCTGGGCTCGTACACGCTGCAGGTAAACGCTCGTCAACGCACACCTGTGTTTGCGTGTGAGCGCCGTGCAGGTGGTTATTGGTTTTTTCAAAATAACATCTGGTTTACAGGCGGAGTTTGGCGACTATGAGCCCGACCAGCCTCGCCCTCTGGACCACATCGGTCAGCTGACCTTTGCGCCCAATCAGAACAAAGAGATGGAGGAGAAGATTCTTGAACTCCACAAATCCCACAGGTTGGAAAACACAGCTTAGGTGTCATTAAAACATGTGTACGTGTTGCTAGTTTAGCTACAGTCCTCAGTAGCATGATGCTGCTAGTTTATGAATTAAATAACTTTAGATGCATTTTCCCAAACATTTCTTTTGATGTAATAAATACAGTTAAGAATCAGTATGTGACGTATTCTTATTCTTATTTTCTGCAAAATGCACATATAAATACATGACCTTGTCTGTAGGCAGCACATGAATAAGATTTAAATGTAAATTTAAAAAATGAAGTAGCTTCTGGTCGTCTTTTGACACGTCGCTGTAGCTTAACTTGCCGCAGTTTCCAAGTAGCATGCACAAAATCGTACGCATAAACTGAAGAATTATTAGAATATTTCACTGCGCTTTAGCTAATCTGAGAGTTTTTAACCTCATTTATTGTTGAAAAGTTTTGATTTTTCTCTTATATGAGCCGAAAGCAAGTCATGAGAGTGAAAGAAAAGCTGTTTTCATCACCCATGAAGTGCATTAACTCCTTTTTCTCGTCTGTTGGCAGCTAGTGAATAAGATTTAAATGTAAAAATAAAAAAATGTTGTAGCTTCTTGTTGTAATTTTCCCGTTAATGTAGCGTCACTGCTAGCTTAGCTTAGCTTAGCTCACTGCACGTTCCGAGTTGCTTCCCCAGAACCATCCCTCTAAGTTAAGCACATATCAGAATATTTCACCGCATTATTACAAATCTGAGAGTTTATAAATTATTTCTCTGCTTTCAGGGGAATGACACCAGCTCAGGCCGACGCCCAGTTTCTAGAAAACGCCAAGAAGCTGTCGATGTACGGCGTGGACCTGCATCACGCCAAGGTATGAATAAATGAACGGCGCTGCTCCCGGCTCTCCTTTTGTTGTCGACGGCGAGGATTAGCACAGTTTCTTTGATGCCTGTCGGTGTGTTACTGTAGCCGAGTGTGTGTGTGTGTATCTGAGTTTGTGTGTGTGTGTGTGTCAGCTGTACAAACACTCACGGAGGCCATCGCCATGGGAACAGCCAGCCTCTCTCTCCCAGGGATAGCAGGTCATCAGCAGACCGCCTGCATGTTTGTGCGTCTTTGTGCGAGACGGACAGAACTGGGGATGTGGGGGAAATATGCGTGAGAGAAAGACGAGTCTTTAAATAGAAAACGGAGGACGAAGGAAGTCGCAGAGAGACAAAAAAACCAAAAAAACTGGGGAGTAGAGACGAATGTGGAGCGAGGCGAGGACGGATCCTTGAGAGAGAAAGAGGCGAGTCCCCTTTAAGGCCCTGCTCCACTTGTTTGCAACACAGAGGGAAGCAGGGAAGAGATGAGAGCGTTTCAAAGGCCTCGTTTTTCTTTTTCTTTTTTTTTTCAGGCATACCAAAGTTGTGGGAATTGATCTATTTCTGTCCTGCACCATTAATTTGTTGTGCAAGTTTCATGACCCCAGAAACCAGAGAGGAGAATTTAAAAACCCGCCAGATTGTCTGGATCCGGGCAAACAGACACAACAAAATGCACGATTTTTGTGTTAAATATAAATTAAATTTGACACATTTGAACCATTCTGGGAAAATTCTGTTCAAAATAATGTAAATTAATCATATTAAAATGTGCAGTTGACCTGTTTCTGCACCAAGTTTTGAAGAGTCATGTTGGTTTTACCGGCCACATTTATTCGTCATCAGCAGCGTTTGATTGTGTTTGTGTGTTAAAATATCAAAAGCACAGATTTAAATGATAAAATGATGAGAACAGAGGCTCTGTCATGGGGAGAAATTCATAAATTCTAGTGGTATTTCTGCAGCAAAGCGCCCGTAAACTGTAAAAATAATAAGAATCGTGCAGTTCGATGATGAGTTTCAATCAGCTTTGAAACTATATCAGACAAGTAATCAAAGAAATGAAGGTTTAGTTTGCTCTATTTATTTAATTTATGGCATCGTAGCTGCACAAAAGACATTCAACAGTTCATTTTCAACAGTTTGAGTCGTTTGTGGGCAGTGTTTTGGTTTTTTTTCTCCCTATTTTGTGTCCCTCTGACTGTCGAACTGCACTGAAGACGTGATGTTGTTGCTCAAAGTTGGTTTCTGGTGAACAAGATCCAGGTTTTGTCTTTAGATTGTGACTCCCTGAGTGGATGTAAAATAGATTTTTGAAAGAGCTCAAATGTGTTTTTCAGCCCTGAAAATGTCGTCTGCTGTACTTATGAAGTGATGAGGCTCAGAAATGATGGAAAAAAAGGAAATTAAAAAGCATGACATTCCGATCCGCCCCATTTCTACTTCAAGAGCCTTCAACTTGGAAAATATTCACAGCATGAAGGGAACAGCTTTGTTAAAGTTGCTGCGTGTTAAAAATGAGATTTTTCTCAGATTTGATTGATTCATTATGGGGATTGCATCACTTTGAAGATGATTCACCCTGGAAGAGTCACTTTTCAAGCCCTGTTTCCTCCCAGAAACATCAAACGTGGCCTGTTTGCTGTTATTAGCCAAACTGCTAAAACGGATCTGCAGCACCAAGATGGCGATCGATGTGCAGCCGGCAGCACGCCGAGGCCACGCCATGTGTGCGTGTCCCAGTAAAACTGTCCATTATCAACATATTGCCTCCTCCATTAGGCCCACAGATTTTTCCTGTGTTGATTCACTGCGGTGATCAATACTCCCTCGCCGCTACCACATGGCCCCGGGTTTAAAAGCTCTGCCAGCGAGTTAGCTCGCCCGCTAACCGTGTTACAGTCGGTCTGAGTGACAGCGGCGGCGGGGGCGTGCGCGCTAATCGAGTTTCTGTTGACCTTAAGCAGGCTACTTTATAAATCAATTGATGCACAATATGATCTGATTTGGACCAAACAAGTGGCACGTGGAGATGTTTTACAGGAGCTAATTGCTAAGTGCGTTACAAGAAGTGTTTTATGTGCTTTTTGCCTCCTGACAGGACTCGGAGGGCGTGGACATCATGCTAGGTGTGTGCGCCAACGGCCTCCTCGTCTACAAAGACAGACTGCGGATAAACCGCTTCGCTTGGCCCAAAATACTCAAGATCTCATACAAGAGGAACAACTTCTACATAAAGATCAGACCAGGAGAGGTTGGTGTTAACTCATCCTCACACAACACGGGATACATGCTGCGCTCTGGATGGCTTGTGAAGCTGATAAAACGTTCTAATTTATCCCCCTCTGCTGTGGCTTCTCCTCGTTGTTCCTTTGACAGACGGAGCAGTTTGAGAGCACGGTGGGATTCAAACTCCAGAACCATCGATCTGCCAAAAAGCTGTGGAAAGTCTGTGTGGAGAATCACAGTTTCTTCAGGTAGACGTGCACACATTCAGATGCTAAATATGTGCCGACTGTTTCTCTACAACCTCTTTCAGGACCGTTTTGTGGCCTAAAAAGCGCCAAAAAGTTTTCCTCGCCCACCATCGAACATGTAAAATTCTTCACATAGACTCACGTAACACACCTCCGTTGTTCTGTTCCCTAAATAAAGCCGGAGCTACATCCAGTAAATCTGTCTGTCAGTGTTTCAGGGCAGTCTGAGTTAACTTTAAGGTTGAATCTAAAAACTAATCTAGAAAGTAATGGGCAGTCTTCAAAATGTCTCCGCTGTGGAACCAATCACGCTCTTCTTATCCCTAAAAGACAATCGTTTGTTGTGGCAAACACCAAACAAAAACCAGAGATTTTAGAACATTAAAGCTCCTCTCATCTTTAATGCAGCACCGTCTCTTTCTGCTGCTTCCTCTGGTTTCGCCAACAGTCGGTAAAATGATGCTCGTCTGGAAACGTTCTGTCCACTCGGGGTCGCTGAACTCCATCGTGTCGACCTTCTCCCTCCGGTCACAGCTGCGTATCTTCACCCACCGCTGCCTCGTCCTCTGACCGCGGAGGACGTGTCCAACATTTGCTCTCGACTCCCATCGCTGGTAACACGACGGATAAACCGAGTTCGACTACGCGAGCCAAAGCATCCTCATTTTTAATGGCCGCAGTCACAATTAAGGGAGCGTCGGGTCAAGCTGCTGGTTTGTGTTGTAAACATTACGGACGCCTGCACAAACAGGAGCCAGATACGGGTGTTTGTCATGTAAACAGGCATATAAATAACCAGTAAGTAAACACAATCAGTGTGAAGGACGCGTCTGTTATATGTGCAAGAAAGCAAGACAGAAAACAGGACGAATGAACAAACGGACGACGATTTGTCTTTATTAAAAGTTCCAGAGCAGGTTTAGAAACTTTCTCTAAGAAGAAAATGAGATATTTTTACATCTTAATGGCCACATATAGAGAACTAAAGCAGAAGTAGAGACGAATAACTCGCAACAAAAACAGGAACTGGGTGACGGGTGGTTCCTCTGGTTTGGTTTTGTGTTAAACGTGGCTGCAGTTGTGTGTGCAAAGGGGAATGTGTGGGTGCAACTGTATGTAAAAAGTGCATGATGTCTGGTACAGTGCATGTGAACAAGCACTTTCATTATTGGAGCTAACAGAAGAAATGTCAAAGCATTTCATACTGTAAGTCATAGAATGATAATTAATAAACTGGATAAAACAAAATGGCAAAAGAGGTTGAACTGG